AGCTACTCTGCCATAAGCAGAATTTAATATGAGAAGTTTCAAAATCTTATTTTTTAAAGTTCTTTTTAATTAGGAATATGTTATGGAGGTACTCAGGAATCATTGGTGATTATGTCAGAATTTTTTTTCTCTTAAGCATTGCTATTAACATTTCATTCATATTTTAAAACACAATATGACTCTGTAGGCGTTTTTACGTGATGGTAATGAGAAAGAGTACCTTAAAAAGGGATTAGGATTTTGGAAAATTAGAGTTTAAGTAAGAGATACAATATTCTTTATGCCAAACATGCAATAAAAGTATAATCATGACTCCATACAGATTATATTGATTCTCCTGCCAGGGTGTTCTAAAAGAGTCTGTTTTTTATATAACATCGTCTCAATGTCTGCCAAGGAAATAAATGGAATATCATGCATTTCAGATTTGGAGCTCAATTAGCAGTGGACTGATCACGGGAATTATCTGTATTCTGTAACCAAAACAATCCTATTTATAACCAGATTGACTTAACATTTAAAAACAGGATTCTTCTGTGCAGGTCTAGTTGTTCAGTGATGTGAGATATACATACAGTACATTGAAATGCGAATCTGAAAATTTAAAAACATTTTCACTTTATAAATAACAAAATCAACACATTCCAACTCTAGTCTCAATTACAATTAATATTTTTTTAACTTTTCAGATAAAAGAGATTATATATAAAAGCCTTCTTTTCTGCTTAGAAGACTATTTTAAGTTCAATTTTCAAATCCCTAAAATGTTAGAGATTGCCTTTTTAAAAATATGATCTGCAGAACATTCGTTCTTTATGGCAGAGTTTGTCTTTCTTTGGCGGGGGTTGGGTGGTGGGAGAGCTACATGTTAAAATAATTGTGGGAAATTCTAAGTTTACATGTTTGAAGGTTTAATAGGCAACTTATTGAAGACATGTGCGTTGCTAATTACTGAATGTAAACATATTCTGTGAATAACAGAATGCCTAATTACATTTAACTTTAAAGTGAACGATAACTGACTTTCAGTGAATAGGAAATATGTAACAGATGTTTCCATTTCATTATATTAGAAAATTAAAATATACATGACCTAAAGTCCATTTTACAAAACTCAAGTAAAAAAGACATTCACATTTAGGATTCAGATTAACTGTATCACATATCATTTAATTTCTTCATTACACTAATTTATGCAATATCTGCCTAACTACACATATTTTGAGTTTATTAATAAAAAATAAAAACTTGAATTTTTATAAGGAAATCACCATTCATTCCGGTCAGCATCACAGTTGCAGTAATACTGAGAATCAATGCAGTTCTCCTCGAATCCACAAGTACATTTTTTAGGATCAGGCAAAGAACCTCCCCAGTAAGTCTGCATTTCATTGGTTCTTCCAACCCACCAGCTCAGAGGGGTTCCATCTGAAAGACAAATGCAAGAAATATGACATCTGCTTTACACAACACTGTCTTCCATCCCCATGTAATTCCCTTCCTTCCCAAATCATTAAAAAGAATAGAAAGAAAAAGAGAGAAAGGCTGACTTGATATAATGTTCTAAACACTACAACAGGATGGCATTTCCCTACGAAAGCTTAAAAAATTATTATTGAGGCTTAAATGATTGATATGCTTCTTTCAGTAGAACCAGCAGTTCCCATTTAATTCAGGCATGATATTAAATAATTTACTGAGAGTAGTCCAATTTATGTAATTTCTTTAAAAATGATTTCTTAACAAGTTGGCATTAAAATATAAACCAGATTAATTAATGTACCAAAAATAAAATTGATTTGAAATCATGAAATGCCCATTAAAACATTATAGAATGTTAGATACAGT